GATTATATGAGAAGTGTAGGATAAATGTAAGCGTTAATTGGTAAATGCATCTATTGTAAAAAGTTGTTAATCAGTCATGAAAATCAACACAAAACAGTTTTTGTTTTAAGCGTTTTTTATACGATTAACCATTTTTGAAAGAGCGCGGAGAACCATTTTATTTACGTAGGTACAATGAAAATTAAAATTAATAAAAAACTTTTATTATTATTCCACCCAACTGTTATTTAAATTCATATTTTGCATATAAAGTAGAAAAATCAATTTATTTTAGATTTTATAAGGCTCTGTAACAATTTCTGTTAGTTCACAAACGTAACAAATGAAAGAATATTACAAGAAAATAGAAAATACCTTTCGTTTTCCTCATTCTCAGCGCGAGCCGAGGCCATTTCTCTTTGCCAGTGAATCTATTCTCGAATATACCTAAGCGTGAACGACATAGTTGATAGTCGGAATGAGTAGAACATTGACTCGATCGGTACCGTGCCAAATCACCAGCCATCAGTTCACTATTGTACTGTTTATATTGTTTGGAAAAATTGTGCATTCGAATTAATATTGGCGCGGTTTATTCCAGTTATTGGAAAGTGAATTGAACCAATATACATATTTGCTTTTTTTGTATCGATTCAGTTTTTTTTTTATATTTTTGAACTTTTTACAGTTAATTTTTGGAAGTACTTTGAGAAATCTATACTAACTGTTAAAACGTATCTAGGGACAAACCCGAGTGGAGCGCGGGCGAATCTCGGGTAGTCTATCTATATGGTAAGGTTTTACTGTACTTATTAGTATACTCTTATATTGCAGTTATTGTATTTTTTCTCAGAAATGAGATATTTTCCCGCGGTAAAAAGTATCCTATATTGTACATTTGACAACGTTTAACATACATTGTTACCCGTATAACCAGCTATCACCATATCAAATTTCATCAAAATCCCAGTGGTTTTTCTGTGATGCGGTAACAGACAGACAGACAGACAAAAATTCTAAAAACTATAGATTCGGCCTCTGTATCGATAATAATGTTTATTTCGATAAGAATTACCAAAAAATATTTAACGTACGTAGATTCGGTGTAGTTTCAATTTTATTATATGTATAGATTGCATATATACATAACTATGTATGTACATTCCGTTGTACATAGTTATGTATATAAATATGTACATGTTTACTACGTGTTTCGTTCTTTATAAAAAATAAACACTTTACTGGAATATATTTTTGCTCTTTATTATAAAACTGATATTTCGCTTCGTAAAAAATGTGTGTGTACATTGTACATAACATATATTAAAGCAAATTCATAAATAAAATATGTACAAGAGATTTTATTTTCATTATAATATTCATAATAATTATCTATACAGATATAAAATTGAAGTGTCTGTATATAAGGTCGAAATAAAATCTTTTTACTAAATTCATATGACATTATATAGGTACGCTACATATAAGAAATAAACATTATTTTAATTTTTTGTCTTTCCGTCTGTTCTGTGTTCCTGCTAATATCCGAAAGATAATCCTGCATTTTGCTGCTGATAAGATGAATAGCAAATTTTTTTTTTTCTTTTAATCTAACTTTATAACTAAGATCATACATATCTACAGAGGTATCAACAACATGTCTTTTTTATAATAAAGTTATTAAGTACCTAAATAAAGCATAAATCGATAGAATATCTCGACTATTAAATATTTTTCTTATCTTTGGTAAATACATAACACACAATATAATTGTAATTGAGTAATTATATGTATATATTATATACATAATATTTCCACGTGAAAGTCAGAATCACACTATTGATTTTTAAAAGATGTAAACAAGACATAATAAGTAAATAAAAGTATATCCTACTAATATTATAAATGCGAATGTTTGTGAGGATGTATGGATGTCTGCATGTGTAGATGTATGGATGTTTGTTACTCTTTTATGCAAGAACTTCTGAATGAAATGAAACTTTACAATACATCAGAATAACACATAGGCTACTTTTTATCCCGGAAAAATGTACGGTTCCCGTGGGATAGATTCGTTTTTGTTTTCATAGAGGCGAACCCGAGCGAAAAGAGGCTGAGCCGCTAGTGTATAATGAAGGCTTTATAACCATATGAGGCATTACTCGGTGGATATTTGGATACTGTAATCTTACTTATTGCTACTTACCTCCTAACATTTCTTTGTATTAAAAATAGATAACTTATAAAACCAACAAAAAGGGTGTTTTTTATCTGTATACTGTACACAGCAGAATATATTCTGTAGATAATCTTCTACGTTATAAGTAATTGAGTTCTTTTTCATTTCAATGTTTAATAATATACTACGCTCCACTTTATTCCGATCGATCAGCTATTGGAAAATATCTTGTTTACCAAGCTTCATACTAATTTCTATCGACATCGATGCTATTATCCTCGTCATCTCAAAGTGTCGTGTTTTTACTCAGATATTTTTATATCTATATAAAGGGTAGAAAGGAGGTTAACATTTTTTGCAAAGCTTTTATTTATTATTTGAAAGAAATTTTTATGGCACAGTTTCCTTTTGTTTTAAGCGATTCATGTTATTTTGAATTATACTTTTCTTTTTGTTTTAAAAAATTGCAATAATTTTTGTTAGTAGGTATTTGAAATTGTACAAAATAAACACAGCATAATATAGTGTTAGGTTAGGATATACAAACCTACAAACATATTACATATTCGTTATCGTTCATTGAATTATTATTCTATATATTTAAGAGCTTTACGGGCTTATATTTAGTACGATTTACACTTTTTCTAAAATAAAAGTAGCCTAAGTTACTCCTTATAACATCGGATATCTGCCAGTGCATGTTTCGTTAAAATTGGTCCAACCGTTTCGGAGATTAGCCGAAACAAACAGACAGACAGACAGACAGATAGAGAGACAGACAGACAGACAAAAATATTAAAAACGTTTTTTTTTCTTATTAGTACCATATATATACTTTCATATTATGCATTTAATAAAAAGGTTTTATTTTGACATTAGAAACAGACACTTCAATTTTATTTTTTTGTATAAATATATATTGTGTATAATTCGATCTTATTTATACTTATTCAAAACTATTGACTTATTCTCGCTTCGCTCGGATGCGAAACTGGGTGTGTTTTAGTTTTTGATCGGGACCCTAATTCTTTTTCTAAAATAAAAGTAGCCTAAGTTACTCCTTATAACATTAGCCAATGAAAGTCCTGTCAATATCAGTACTTCGTTTTAAAGTTCGATTAAAAGAAAAATTAAATTTTTACTATTTATCTTATCAACAGCTAAAGGGTCACGTATTATTTCTTTAGGATATGGTGAAATGAAAATTATTTTTGTGGCCGCTGAAAGATATAAAACAAAAACACTCTATAGTTCATAAATTAATCAATATATTTCAAGTTATAAATCACAAAATATAGTTATCCCTTATCGCTTTTTTATCTCTCTGTTATACATACATACATACATATGTATGAAATGCCACTGTTTTTGTAGTGACTTAGAAAAATAGCTGTGGTAGTCCCATGGTAACGCACATACGTGGAAAACAAGTGACCCGGGTTCAATCCGGACCCCGGAGACCCGGGGGTCTCACACTTCTGAGATTTTTACGTGCTCATCATATTCAACATGATAACCACTTATCTTACGGCGAAGAAAAACGTCCTGGTGAACCTTAACCTAAGAATATAGCTAGTCTTCGAAAGACATGTCTGTCAAGTCATTTGGCCAGCGTTTGGACTACGATCTGATCCCCCTTGCATTGAGGAAAAGCCCATGCGGCAATAGGAGTTTAAAATTGCTGACTATTATAAAAGACACTTAACATACTTGTTAAATTCAGTAATATAGTGCTAGTTATCTCAGGCTAAAGTGACTGACAGACAACTAAAGAACAAAGATACACGAACAGACAATGTTGGCGAAATTATTTGTTTAAAAAAAATAACGACTACGGAACTCAAAAATCTGATCAGATATTCGCTGTTGTATCCTAACTATGACCCATCAGATACCTTATAATATAATATTATGCGACCATATCAAAGGCATATAAAATTTTATCTGAACTTATCTAAAAATAGCAATCCAGCCATGTGTGCAACCAATTGAAAACATGTGACCGATTTTGCTTTCCAATATTTCAGAATTTAGACTTTTCATCTTTCAAAATGGCTCATAAATTTGTACGTGATTTTAAAATAAATAACTTTATTAAATTGATATTTTTATAATATTTATACATAAAATAGTGGACACTTGTCTAGCTTTTATATAAATTTCAGTTTTTCTAAGAATATTGTTGTTGGAAAATTGAATTGGATGAGAACTTTATAGTGTTTTGTTTGAAATAATGAAGAGCTTGTTGCATTCTTTATAATAAATTTGAATTAATCGTAATGCAATAAAATACAAACATATTAAATATTTTCTGATGTAGAATAAGCTACATCATTTTTAATAAAACTGTCTTTTCAGATTTTTTAACCGAATTCCAAAAAGGATTAGGAAGGAGGTTCTTAATTCGTCGGAATCTTTTTTTATGTATGTTCACCGATTAATCGAACTTATCTGACTTCGAAAATATCTGATTAGATATCTATTCTAAATGAAAACCCTTGTTTACTTATTTTTTACGTTTTAGTGCCTGGAAATGTTTTTTTTTTATTGGCGGATTTATTTAGATTTTTGGTCCCCGACGCTTAGAATGCTTTACAGCAATTATGGCAAAGGAATTAGGATATTTCGCGTAAATCTAAGAAAGTTTTATTAAAACATACATCAATTATGTTAAGAGTTATGTCTGTCTTCATATTCAATAAGATAATCATGTCCAAATTAAAGTCTTCATACAATTATAGGACTGTTGAAATTGAAGTATCAATTATAATAATTAAGCTACTCATTAGTAGCTAGAAAATAAGGTCTTACATATATTTAACTAAATGTTGTATTTTAACAGATCTCCAGATCAACATCCCAACAAGTTGTTCTAAGAGAAGCAACTCGGGCACTAGCGGGTAGATACCGATGTGAGGTATCAGCCGACGCGCCGTCTTTTCACACGCAAGTTCGCTCCGCATTCATACATGTCGTGGGTAAGTGTTAGTATTGTAAGATTTATTTATGTTATATGGTATTATAGTTAATATATTATATTATATAATATGGTCCATTGCACCAGAAGTCGTCACTTGAAACGATGAGTATGAGTAATGAGATTTTTCTTTCCGGATGATTGTCAAAAAAAATTCTTAGTAGCAACGGAAATTTAGGAAACGCTTGAGTAAAACCGGGTGAAAAAAATGTTATTCGGAGAGGGTGTAAAGTCGTAGCCTACACTTACTTTCTCCAGTTTTGTCGGACTTGTCTCTCTGGACCATGAAAGAAAAAAAATGTTCTTTGTTTTGTTGGATCCTGATTATAGCAGAATGACTATTAAAAAATCGGAAAATTCGCAAAAAAATAAAAAACCCTCCGTACTAAGCGTCAAAACGTACCTAGGGACGAACCTGAGCGAAGCGATAGTCGTTAGTAGTCGTTAGTAATTACATAAAATAAAGTAAAACATATATGAAAAATGTTAAGTATACTTAGAAAGTGAGCAATTGATACCTAGTTCAAATTGTTTTCAGCAGCACTTAATGTGAATGGGATTACTTAACATTATGCCTTTGGTAATGCTTGTTATAATATTTGATTAGCTTATACGTGCCCTCATAATTACTTAGTTGATAGGCTCATTTATACGGGAGAGTTTCGATTCTTCAAGGAAAGAAATTCTATAGATAATAAAACAGACAATGTAAACTAGACCGTATAAAGTAACATATAGGGTACAATTTACATTGTTCAACTTTTTAGTCTCTCAATTTTCATACATATTTAAAACTTCGCGTAAACGCGCTCTTTTATTATATTTACGCATATAATATATTATTTTTCAAAGGGAAACAAAGTCAGCCATTATTATTATTAATCTGCATGCCCTGTAGGATAATGTAAATATAATTACTTCTTGCAGATTCGCCCGCGTCTGTACTTTGATAAACCATAGAGGGCTTTAGTAAAAAAGGCCGTACGTTATACAAAAAAAAACGGGATAGGATTTTTTATTTTATAACGGAAGGCTTTTCTTTCTCATAGTTTTATTTCACATCTCCTTTAAATTGATCGAAAATTTTGTATATGCGTGCCAAGCAAATCGGGCATAATTTAGTAACCTTTTTTTTAGTGTCGGGAAATGCATTTACGCATACCAACTGATCCCCCAGGTGATGATGTGGGGCTCACCGGCTAGAAGAGCCGGTACTACCCACTAAAAGCCGATATTCCCCTCCCCTCCGCCTTAATGGAACGTCGCAGGATCGCTTGCGCATAACTACTACGGCACCCCGGCGGCAGGTCTACCTAAACGTTAGGCAGACCACCAAACCAATGGGGCTGCTTCACAGTCAACTCTGCTACGCCAGAGAGGTACCCAGAGCAATCCCATTAAACCTAGCACCACCCACCGAAGTGGGCCACCTCCAGTCGGCTGCAAAGGACAGGGAGAGCGGCAACGACACATCGACACTCCTCTTCCCCTGCAGCCCCACCGGGTCCGCCATCGAAGGGTGGTGGCCCCGTCAAGGCCGCGGAAGGTAGGGAGAGCGGCGCACCGAAATACCGGCACTCCTCTTCCGCCGCGGCCTACCCCTCCGCTGGATGCGGGTCTGCCACCACAGTCCCGCAACCGGCATCCATCATCCGGTTGTGGGACCAAAACCATGTGGTCCGCGCTGGATTTCTCCGGTACCACCCGCTGTCGGGGCAGCGGGTGGCGTTCCCCGATCCGCCACCTGGAGACGCGCCCGATAGGAGTCGGCGTTTCCCCGGGATAATTAATAACCTACTTAAACCATGGCTAACGAATTCACGATATTTATTGAAGTCCTAGCCCCTAGTATGGCTGGCCTGTCACATTTTCAACATTTTACACCATAACAATTTATCCTAATATTATAAAGAGGCTGAGTTAGTTTGTTTGAACGCGATAATATTAGGAGCTAATAGCCTGACTTGAAAAATTCTTTTTGCATTAGATAGGCTGTTTATTAGGGAAGACTATGGGCTATATATCATCATGCTACTACCCAAGGGAGCGTAGCAGTAATCATAAATGTCAACAAATCGGGCAGACTTCCATACATTATTGTAAAACTGATGTTTATAACATGTTTAAGCGCTTTAAACTATTAACTACGTGCGAAATTCTAACAGAAGTACAACTAATACCATTATATTGTATTATATATAACACTTAACGATACTTGTCTATTTTGAAGCACAATTATTATTGATCCGTAAAAATCTAGATTAGTGACCAATTAATCCAAAGAAGGCTAAAAATAGGCATTAAAAATCATTGTCATTTTATTACGTAAATGAATAATAAACTTACAAAATAAAGGACCGTCAGCGTAAAAAGCTCAGAGATGTAACAAGTTTCAAAATATTTACATCTCTGAAAAGAAATGGACGCAAACTTTTGTAAAGATAAATTCAAACATTTATTATAGATTTTCATTTAAATTTTAAGCCCCGGCCACTAACCACAACGCGGTCGAGTTACCTTTTTATTCTCGGAGCTTATTTTATATTCTTTTCGAAGTACAAGCGGATTTATGTATCTTGAAACTTGAACTACAATGATGATAGCCTGTACCGATGTTTACTTTGTGTTCAGCGTTTTTATTTACAATTTTCTTTTGTATATTTATACTTCAAGATTAAAAAAAAATAAATGCATGTAACCTTTACGCGCAGTAGAAATAAACCTTTTTTGGCGCTGTGGCAGATACAGAAATTAAATTAAAACAAATCAAAATATAAATTATTTATAACTATAATTTTTTGTAATTAATAATATTATTATAATATTAAATAAAAAAATATATTTTATAAATAATAATTGTTATAAAAAGTTAATATATGTATTTTTTTAAATTATTTACAATAAAGACTCTCACTTCCGCGACACTCATTTTTTGCAATGTATTGACATACCCCTCAGTTACGCCTAAAGAAAATTTACTTCAAAAACCTGTATATCGTTGCACTAATAACAAACAAAAATTTTAACAACACGTATGGTTTTCAATAATGTTTTTTTTATCAAACCTACAACTGTCTGAATCAAGAAACGTATTTAAAAAAGTGATATTTATTATGGATTATTCGTATGGTATATTCAAACACTAGTTACTCACCGTAGTTCCACTTGTGAAATACATAATTCAAATATGGTATATATTGAAAGAAAACAAGTTGCAACACAAGTAAATTTGTATAAAAATTAACTATAATGAAAAATAAAACAAATCTTAAATTTAAGCAAACTTCTCGTAATTATAAGCCTTCAATATTAAAGCTGTTTATTAAAAAAAAATTATATTAATGTTCCATAAAAATCCATAAAATAATAAATAATTACAAATACTAGTGGCTCACCCTTGCTTCGCTAGGGTTCGTCCCTAGTGAAAAACAAAAACAAATCTATTCCACGGGAACTGTGCATTTTTCAGGATAAACGTAATTTATGTGCTATTCCAGACTATAATCTTTCTCTGTGCCAAATTTCATCCAGATCTGTTCAGCCGTTCTGACGTGATTGAGTAACAAACATCCATCCAAACTTTCTCATTTATATAGAAGTAAGATATTCATAGTTTAAAGATAGTATTATCTTAGTAATATGCTCATAATATATTCCATTAAATCTTGATCTATATAATTAAATGCAAATTTCTTTGTGTAGAATTCCAATATTAAAAACGTGGAGGCGAGTAAAAATTCATTGTGAACTCAATAATCGATTTTAAGTTATTAAATATTCGATATGAAAATAGATTCTCGGGAGACCGTTCATCCATTCGTTTTATTTTGATTACCCTCCGTAATATTGGAGTAATGGATGCGGAAAATCACGTGCTTCGATGGAACTAACTTATATACCTTTATCTATAAGGGCTAGAAAGTTAAGAAATAATAAACCTTTTAATAGGATGTGACTTTTATTAAAAACTAGCTGTTGTTTACGGCTATTTGTATTCAATATTTTTTTTAATTTATAAAGAATTAAACTAAAAACTCAGTGCATTCAAAATTTAAAAAAATCATAGAGCAATAATAAATAAGATACTTTCTTGGATTTACGCAAATATTTGACATTTAAAAAAACAGCTATTCGGATTTTGATGCAGTTTCTTTTTGAGGTCGTGATTCCGAAGTTTCAAATGCTTTATTTACTAACTGATTTACTCAAAAGACTGAGAAGCCTTGGTGATTATTATATGTATAATGTACATAATTACATATATATTTCAGAAAATAAAATTATGTAATTATTAGTTTTTTTAAACTAATATGAACCTAATATTAAATTGCTACACGGTTCTTAAATAACTAGCGAACTCACCCTCGCTTTATTCGGGTTCGTCCTTAGGTACATTCCCCATATAAACTTTCATCCCCATGTTCACCCCCTTATTGGATGATTTCCGGGATAAAAAGTATCCTGTATCCTTCCCAGGGTCTCAAAATATCTTGTTACCAAATTTCATCTAAATCAATTAAGTAAATCCAGAGATAACCCCTACAACGTCAAAAACTCACAAACTTTACTTCTTTATAATATAGAGGGTGTCTTATAAGTAATGTCGGTTTTCATATGTGAAAATTCCTACGCCTCAATTTAAACATGTCGTAACTTGTTAAGACTAGTCTCTAATTGTATGAAGAGTACAATTGCTTTACTTTCTTTTAATAATTCTCTCTTTGTTTATTGACGACGTACTACGTTTTTATAATAAATAGTATGGAGTGTGATAAATACGAAATTCGTGTATTGTTAAGACATTATTGGAAACAAAAGTTTAAAGCAGCTGTGGCAGCAAGGAAAATATGTGAAATTGAAGGGGAAGACACAGTTAATGAGCGCACGGCACAGCGCTGGTTTAATCGTTTCAATAGTGGAGATTTGACGCTTGAAGATTGTTCGCGCTCAGGTCGTCCACCTGCGTGGGATATTGAGGTTACAAGGGAAGCAGTAGAAAACCAACCTAG